CTTTACACCTGGAATCAGGCCACTATGTGGTGCTTTCTAAACACACTGTGGGTGAATGTGAGGGCAGAAGCAGGGTGAATGCCTCCAAGATGAGATGATAGGCTGATGAGCTTGACAGGAGCTAGTAATGATTCAGTGCAAGAGTCATATTCTCTAAAACTTCTGCAAGTGGGCTTGATTTTTAATTATTCTTGGACTCAATCAGGGGACAACTCTGAGACTGAAAATCATGGGTACCCTTGTGAAAAGGGTCATGGAAATGTGAGAACTTGGCTAATGGGCCATCATCACTTGGAAAACATTTACTGCCACCAATACTGTGCCTGGTACAGTATTAGGTACAGGATGATCATTATGTCAGGATGTGAACTGTTCTCCTGGAGTTACAGCTAGTGGGGAGAAAGATCTACAAGGAAACATCAAGGTAGATGTAATGGAAGTCTATATGTGAACTCTTCCTTAGAGAATTAGGGTAGCTTTCCAGAGGAGGTGACATGTGGGCTTAGAATCTGATGGATGAAGAGTTTGCCACCAACTTGAGTTGGCTGAGACAAGGCCACTGATATTTTCTTCTTTCTATGGAAAATATAACAGGCAACCTTGCACCCAAGAAGGTCTACATAACTGTACATAGTCACAGAATATTTCTCCATATCCTTTTGAAAATGGTCCTTCTTAAGAGTAAGGGAAAAATGAGGTAGGTTAATTCATGATTGCAGAGTGGTCTCCAAGGCCATCATAAAGGCTGCCAAGCAACAAAGGTTATATCCTAACAGTCTGAAGGTCATTACACTGGCCTATCTCATTTCTCCTCATAGTAAAGTCCAAACCTCATAACTACATGGGGTTCTTGGAGAGCTGGGAAAGTGGTATCTCTCATTTTCACTGGCAGCTCCTGGCCTTGTAGTTGCCATGGAGATAGTGAGAAAAACTATCATGTCTATGAAGTGGATTCTTTCCTGCTAATCATCCTTGAAAGTCGTTACCATCGAGTACAGTCCCTTTTATCAGACTCATCTTCAGGAATCACTCAAGGCCTCTTAGCTCTACAGTATTTTCTTTTCTTCTTAATTTTTTTTTTTAATTTTCAGTTACAGTTTGACATTCAATATTATTTTATATTAGTTTGGTTACACATTGGTTAGACATTTGGTTATACATAGTGGTTAGACATTTATGTAATTTACAAAGTGATCCCCCTGACTAGTCCAGTACCCACCTGGCACTATACATGGTTATTACAATATTATTGAGTATATTCCCTATGCTGTACTTTACATACCCTAGA